GGAGTTCAGTAATCAAGTATGGGGCTTAAAAAGCCAACTAACCGAAAAGAAGGAAAGAGAGAGCAAGACACAGCTGCCCAAATACTCACCCATTTCTTACAAAAGACTACATAAGATAGCCAAAGTTGAACATCATCCTGCAAGAAAAGCAATGTAGTAAGCTGCCTGAATTTGAACTTCATACATAATACACCTTTGAAACAAAGGCAGGTTTCAGAAAATCCAATGTGTTACAACATCCCTCAGCCTCTTAGGCTCTTCCTTATCAAGGCCTGAAATCTCTCAACCATCACGCAATCTGTTCCCCCGCTCCCATCAACTGTGCTCCAAGAACAAATCTGTGGTCTAGCCAATTTGCTCAATGGAGTTTTTAAATGGTCTCAATCAAGGGTAGCAACCCCAAAATGTGTCATTCCCAGGAATCCAAACTACTTCCCATATAATAACGATCCAGTCCCAGGGCCGAACTTGAAGAAAATTAAGTTACTGCATGACTGTCCCTACAGTAACCATTTATCTTCCACCTCTGAGTCTTCAGTGCACTTTACTTAGAAATACAGCCAAACAAGTCCCAATTGTTTTATCCTTAATTATGTCCTAAATCCACTCTTTTCAACACCATCCTCAAAAATTAGTGAGATCAATTTTCTTAATGGTTTGATAAGTGGTTTCAAGTAATTATACTGATTCCATCATTAAAATAAGTATTGAGACACCCAAGATAATAGACAACACATTTAAATATCCAAGTCATAATATGCATAATACATATCTTCAATTAACGATTCTCTGATCACTTACTTTCCACTTTGCTGAAGCACGTCGAAAGACACCTTGTACCCGGTGTACAATAGAGCTCTCAATCTCTTCCTTCTTAAAAGAATACCCAATGCGCTAAAAAGGAACATAAAAATACAAAGCCTCAGTTTAATCACATTTATTCAAAGAAGGATTCCTACTAGGACATTAAACAGTACTAAGAAAGCAAATAATTACAAATATCCATTATGAGCACATCACCCCACAATTTATCAATGCCAACTGCTTCCCAAACAAGTTCTAGCTATAGAGCCACACTATTTAATTCTATTTTTTTTTAACTTCCAGAAAATCATCTACTTACAGTTCTTCTTCTCTGGATCAGCTCCAAAAGATTAATTTCATACTATGAAAGAAAAACATACCAAAAAAAAAAAAAAAGAAAAAAGACAACCTTTTGAATATGTAGGAAATGCATTTAAAATCATAAATCAAATAAAAACCAAGAATATGAAACAAAATAATTTGCTATCCAAAAGCATAATTTACAGTAAATGTCTAGCATTCGCTGAAAATTCACCTTACATCTGTAAAATTCACAAATACATATATTAGCAAGCATATAAACATCTTAGATACAAAGAAAACATGTTACTAAAATCATGACTTATAAGATTTAGAATACCAATCTAACTTTCTGGTCTACAACAGTGTATTCAAACTTTTAGTAAATGAACCATTCAAAAATTTTAGTTGATGCACAAGCAAATAAAGCAGATAATAGATCTGTACTAGCTGAAACAGGGTAACTAATTGGCTCTCCCTCCACTCCCCTCTAAAGAACGAACCACTTAGAACCTCTAAGGCTCTCTAAAAACTACTACTATACGATTCCCTCTCTAAACCTCAGAATAAAGACTATTAGAGACTGAAAGCTCAGGACCTTTCAAGATTGCATGTTTCATTTTAAAGCTATTTTGTTAAATATTTCAAGCACACAGGACACTCATGTAGCTAGCTCCCACACAGCTATGTCAAAGCCTACATTTACTTTATTTGCTTCAAATCTTTGTTAGAAAAAATGCATTTGAAATAAAAGTGAAGCCGCCTATTGCCGTATCTGATTCCACTCTTCTTCCTCCCCAGAGGAAATAACTATCTTGACTTGATCACCCCCAAGCATGACTTTGGACTTCATTGTAAATGCTGCCTTGAATGCTTTTAGGACTTTATATTATAAATGGCATCATACTGTACCCATCACTCCATATTTTTATTCAACATTATGACTTTAGATATATCCCTATTGACACATAAAAACTCAAGTCTATTCATTTTAACTGCTATATATTTCACTGTATGAACGTGCAATTTACCTATTCTGTCTCCTGCTGATGACTATTGTTTCTGATTTTTCTATTACAAAAAGTTGCAATTAATATTCTCGTACCTATCTTCTCCACTGTGGACATATATCCAAGAACTTTTCCAGGGTGTATACCAACTTCCACCACTGATATGTGAGCTCCTGAAGGAATGATTTTTGTCTGTTTAATTTACTGTTATACCCTCATCAGACTGAATCAGTACCATGTAGGTACTCAATATTTACTATACGACTGAATAAAATCGCTGGGTCAGACAGTATACGAATTTTCAACTTTGTGGAATATTACCAAATTGCTCTGCAAGGTGGTCGAACCAATTATATACTAACAATGTCAGTTTTTAAAACATTTGCTAATATATGATGGATATAAAATAGCTCTGCATCTGGGTTTTACTCTGTATTTACCTGATTACTAATGAGGCCAACATCTTTTCATGTTTATCAACGAAAGATGTTGTCCCTTTGTGATCTACATATTCACATTTTTCCAGTTGTTTTCATTTTCTTTCCAGTTGTTTGTCACTTTCTTCTTGATCTGAAGTTCTTTATATAATCTAGATCCTAATTATATGTGTTCCAAATATTTCCTCCCATTTTGTGACTTGTCTTGTATCATTATTCATGGTGTCTTGTCAGTGCAGAAATTCTTACTTTTAACATACTTAAATCAATCTTCTCTTCATGGTTTATGCTTTCAGTCTCATTTATTTTTT